AAAAAAAAAAAAAAAGTCCGGTCCTGCCTGGGAAGTAAATATTGACAGGTTATGCCAAAACTCAAATTTCAAGTAGCCAAGACAGGGTGTGAAGGAGAGTTTTGGAATAATCAGAGTGGGGGCTTTGATGGCAACTGAGACTGTGAGACTTAGGGACCCACATCGGTATCCTGTAACAAGAGCAGTTAGCCAACTTGTGTCTCTCCAGCCTTCACTTTCGGTAGGTGACATTGCTACAGAAAGCAGAGAACTTACTAAAGTGAGGTCCCAAGGAGCCTGGTCGGGCCAGTAGAAAAGGGTCAAGTAGAAGCTGAGGCTCCCCCATCGAATTCAAACAACAAACAGAACAGTATGTCAATTCACCTCCACTTGCCATCTCCAGGAACTACTTTCCTACTTCTTACAGCTGTCACGCAGCCAACTTCTAAGATTTCACAGGTAGGGCTGGAAGAGGAGGCTATCTAAGAAAAGGTAAGAGAGGAGCAAGCCGCAGGACTTGACCTCTACCACAAGCTTTTCAATACGGTATTCACCCGCTTCCTCAGGTTGCCAGGGGAAATACATGATGCCCAGTTAAATATGAATTTCAGATAAACAACAAATAATCTTTTAGTATAAGTAGGTCCCATGAAAGATTTGGGACTTACTTATACTAAAAAATTATTTGTTGATTTTGTGAAATTTAAATTTAACTAGGTATCCTGGTTTGTTTTATTTGTTTGTTTGTTGCTACATACCTTACCCTAACCACGACATTCTTTGGCAAAACACTTTGCTGAGGATTTGACTGTTCCAAGACCCCACAAATCACCCAGATCACTGGCTTAGAATAAGAAGTTCTGTCTTCTGGTCTTTTCTTGGTTCCCATATCCATAAGGGAAGCCCACTTACTCATCATTCCAAGATCATGTGTAAAGCCCAGGAGGCATACACAGTTGGTATTTATCAGGTACCAATGCTGTACCCACTATAAATAGGAATTTGCCTAAATCAGGTCCTAAAAAGACTGGAAAAACTGAAGAGAATCAGCAGATTGAACAAAGGAGCCCTGAAAGAAAAGGCCTAGGGTAGGATGGAATCATTGAGATTCAAAGACAATTACATTGCTAACATAAGACTGGGATCCCAAGAAATGGGAGAACAAAAAGACTGCTTAGAAGAAATAAATGACTGATAACACAATGAACGGACATGTTAAAGGCCAAATTAATAAATTAGAAAACCAACTCAAGAAATTCATTCAAAAGTAGAACAAAATTTTAAAGATTAAAATTAAATTATGAAAGAATAAAGGAGTATAAGAATAATCACAGGAATTGGACTCTTCTCATATTAGGAATCCAGACAGAGAACAGAATAGAGAAGATGCACTGATAGAAGATCAAAGAATATATCCCCAAGCTGAAATCTCAGATATTCAGTTTAAAATCACTTAGTGATTGCCAGAAAAAAATGTTAAAAACAGATACATGTCTGGAAGTAATCCCAGTAAAATTTCTGAAGGCCCTGGAAAAATAGGAAACTGTGTCGGTTTCATAGTTAGAAATAACATTACCGACAAAGGAAAAAGAATCGGACTGGCCTTAGGCCCTTTGTCAGCCACTCCAAATGCTAGAAGATGGAAGTATGTTTCTAGGATTCTCAGAGGAAAGAATTGGACCCTAGATTTCTAAACTCAGACAAGCTACTGTTCACATGTGAAGGCAAAAGAAAGACATTTTCAATGAGACATGCAGTCTCGAATGGGAAAAAGCCACATACTGTTACTGAAAAAAATTAACCTTAGAAACCCTCTAAATATATTTCTGTTAAGTTGAGTTATAAATTCAGTGTAATCTCTACCCCTTCTTCCAAATACCTCAAGATAGAGGGTGGAAAACATTATGTTTTAATTTTCTGCTCAGTGGACTTGCAAAAGGAGTGAGAAAATCAGGGGGGACTGCCCCTTCAGGATCGGGGCTTGGCCCTGCCTCTGGAGCCTCCACCATCCGTACCCAAGCCTTGTATCCGACCCAAAGCTGTGAGAAATGGCGGTGCCCTCACAGGAAGCCAGCCCTTTGCAAGCTGTTGTTCTGTCGCTCTGCCTTTGCTCTGGGTCCTCCTAGACCCTCCGCTGTGCTGACCCCCACAGCCTGAAGGGGGTGACCTCTGCATGTGCCCCCGTGGACCTGCCCTCCCTCATCGTAGCCTTATGCTGTGTGTTCAGGGTCAGGCAGGGAAGCACAGTCACCACGCATGTTATGGGATAAGTGATTTATTTCAGGAAGTGGACCTTGTACAACTGTAGAAGGAGCGTGGAAACTGAAGGTTCAAAAGAGAAGTTGGAGGTTCAGAGAGTTTGCTGACAAGTCAGTGTGAGAAACCGAGCGTGTCCAGTTGTTGAAGTGGAACCACAAAGGAGAAACTCACCTGGAGGTCTAAAAAAGGCTCTCTGTGTAGCCATGC